TAATTACTATTGGTTAGGAATTTAAATTCATAAAACGCCAATAATAAATTTTAGTTAGTTATAAGAATAAAATATTAGTTTAGGTTTTTGTTTTTCCATTTTTTTTTTGTTTATACTTAGGTTAAATCTCTCATAAAAATAGATTTTATTCATTACAACATTATTTTATTTTTAGGAAATCATTACTAATAAAAATAAATTGAGAAAGTGCTCAAGAGATATGTTTATTACTGTTAATCTAAAAATCAGATGATCCTTTCCATGTTCTCATACACTTATTTATAGTACGATTTAAATGTAACTGATTGCATAACTTTTATGGCAAGGATCTTAGCTATGAATGTCGAGCAAGAATCTTGGCCATTTAATGACTTTGTTTGACTAAATGTTATATTGAGTTTTACATTTATTCAAATGAGTTAAATACTGTTCGGACTTAACTAGTTGCTTAGCCTCTTGTATTGCTCAAACTTTGGTTTGCTCGGTTCAGATCCTATTCCTATCAATTACTTATTGTCAATAATATATAAATAAATAAAAGTATTTTATTTTTAAGATGAATAGATTCTTTTTTATTTTAATATTTATATAAACAAATAGAAATACTTATTTATTTATAAGCAGTGGTGGTGGGGAATGAGTCCGATTTCAGAAAAAAAGTTGAACTGAGTTCCACAAAAATAATATTTTATTCCATTAAATTGCGTACAATTTGAAATTAAAGTGCTATTATAACTAAAATTAAAGTTCAAAATACTAAAAGAAGGATGTTGGAATTAGATACAATTAAAACTACTTGCAAATTTTCAAGTATTTTTATTGATTTAGTCCATAAAATAATGTTGTTTTGACGTTAGTTTAATTAGCCCTCACTTGTTTAGTTAGGAAGCGGGCTTAATAAAGTTGGTTCACAAGCTAATAATCCAAACACAATTGGCTTATTGAATAAATTTAAGTAATTTTTTATTGAATCGAGTATCAAGTGGTTGGGTTCATTTTACAACCCTATTTACAATTGTAGAATCCATTCTATTAAGTCTTCCCTACACGAACCAACCATCAAACCTCAAATATTAACAAGTGTTAGGATTTGAATTTCTAAGTTTGTACATATGAAATTGTTTTCTTTATATTATGAGACATATACTGAATTCTTAAGCCATATATATATCATTTCTAAGTTTTTGGTACATATGAAACTTGTTTTTCTTTATATTATGAGACATATACTGAATTCTTAAGCCATATATATAATATATATAACTATATATATATATATATATATATATTAAATCAATTATTAAGCTACTAGTTGTATCAAAAAACGTATATATTGAAATCAATTATTAAGCTATTAGTTGTATCAAAAGAAGATTACACGGAATAATTTCAATTATTGAAAAAAAAAAAAAGGAATAAAATTTGCTTGCAAATTCAAAATTAAACACCACAACGTTTCAAAAGAGTATTCATCACTTGTCATTGTCGGGGCTCTCTGGACACTTCACCTACAAAACAAAAACAATCACATATGTAATATGATAAATCAGATCACAATTTGTCTTCATATGATTGGGACAGAGAAAAGTAAGTAATGGTGGTGGGTACTACAGAGGATACTTCCCATTCCCGTCATCAGCGCCGAAAGTGGTTGTTGTTGCACAAAAACGCGTTAACGCAAGAAAATGGGTAATGATAAAAAGTGGACGGGGACCAGAGAATAATATGGTGCCCCACGCATTTTATGTACATCCACTTCTTTATTTCTTTCTAATCCTATGAAGCATTTTTAATACAATTGGGGGAAGCTTCTCATTTTTCTTCCTTTAGTTTCTTTCAGAAAAATACAAAACAACTGGAGAAATAAATAAAAAGGAATTTACAAAAAAAAAAAAAAAAAAAAGGAAAAAAAAAAAAAAAAAAAAAAAAAAAAAAAAGGTTTCTTTGTGTTTGGTCTTGTCTTAAAAAAACATTTAATGTATAAGTATTTAAAATTAAGAGGAATGCAAGCTACTTAGGTTGCACAATCACAGACATGAACCTAAAATATTTACTCTTCAAGTATGAATTATTGAATTTCTAATTAACAGTCATGAATTTTACAATAATAAATATGTAGTAAAGTTACAAGTATAAATAATGATTTGACATTTTTCCATATGTCATTTTTTTAGAAATTTTATTAATAAATTTACGTGATTTTTTTTTCTTGGCTCTTGCATGATATTAGAGGGGTTTTCATATCCAGAATTTTGTTTATAAGTTTACTTGAACTATGCTTTTTCCTTTGTATCCAAAAAAAAAAAAAAAAAAAAAAAAAAAAAAAAAAAAAAAAAAAAAATGTGTCATAAAGTGTCCTTAAAGAGTCATATACAGAAGTGTTCAAAATTAATAAAATAAAAAAAAAACTTATAAAACACATTTTTTTTTTAAAATATTTTTCGACAGTATTTTAAAAGAATACTCAAGTGTTTGTCTATTTTGATACAAAATACGTTAAACCTTTTTAAAATATCTGTACAACCTGATTGGCCACGTCGCTCTTTAGAATGATTGGAATAGTTATCTTTTAAGATAATTTGTTATTTTATTCAACAAAAAAAAAAAAAAAAAAAAAAAATTGTGTCAATAAAGTGTCCTTAAAGAGTCATATACAGAAGTGTTCAAAATTAATAAAATAAAAAAAATTATAAAACACATTTTTTAAAATATTTTCGACAGTATTTAAAAGATATCAGTGTTTGTCTATTTGATACAAATACGTTAAACCTTTTAAAATATCTGTACAACCTAGTTGGCCACGTCGCTCTTTAGAATGATTGGAATAGTTATCTTTTAAGATAATTTGTTATTTATTACAACAGATAATTAAAAAAAATGTCACGTTTTTCTTTTTTTAATTTATTTTCATATTATCTAATAAGATAATTAAATGTAATTTCAATATAAGGCATAACCTATTGGTAAGCGCATATACAACCTGGTAATAGATTCAGGTTTGAATCTACTTCCCAACACTCCAAAAGAAAAAAAAATATAACTTCGGTGATATAGTTCAATAAACACAATAGAGCAAAGTATGATAATTCCTTTAAAAAAAAGTATGATAATCAAAACTTAGGTTTAATAACAAAAATAAATAAATAAATAAATAAGTAAAATAACTTCATTGTCAATAACTATTTGAATAAATAAAATAAATTTTTAATTTTTATCAAAAGTTTAAAATATAAAAGTAATAAAAAATGAAAAAGTGCAAAGAACCATGCAATAATATGAGAGCAAATTAAAAAAAGAAAAAAAAAAAAGAGAAAAAGTGATTGATTTTTCGGAATTGGTAATTGCAGGGTGTAAATGAGATAAGCCAACTCACGAACTATTCGAGACCGACTCGAAGAAAGTTCAAAAGTTTTTCAATTTATTCATAATAGAGCGGTGAGATTTCATCACAAGGATAATTTTCAATTTTCTCACTCTCTTGCTTCTTTTCTCTAAGTATCCCTAGGAATTTTTGAGAATTATCAATAATATATCCAAAAATTAATCTCATGTGGCATTACGTTTGATGGAACATCGTATGGGTCTCACTCAGTTGGTGACACGGCATTTCCTAATGTATTTCTTATTTTCAATATTTTCGTAGCCTTCTTTAATTTTAGTATTTTTAATATTAATTAAATCTTTTTTTCATTTTTTTATTTATTGGAGGCTTTTAATTATTGTCGAGAGATTCGAATTCAAAACCTTTTCCTCTCCGCATAATTAAGAAGACCAACCAAACCACCACCCGATTAATAATTTTTTTCACATTTAAAATTAAACTAAACCAAAATAATATAGACTAAGCTTTCAGTCCATTCCATCGATTTGTGTTGAATTTTTAATCGAACTAAATTAATGGAATTAATTTTTAACTTACTTGAATCAAATTTAATCCAATCAAATTGACAGAAATTATTTTTATATATTTGAAACTAAAATAAAATGAAACGAAATCTAAAATAATGACCAAATTTAATTAAAATTTTCCTCTTAATTGAATTGTCAAAGAACAATTTTTTTTTAAATTATTAATGTACAGTTGGGATAACAGAAATAGACTGCATTATTAAATAAATTTTTTCTATAAAAGTAGAGGTTTGAAATAATATCTTCCTCAACCTAATGTGAAAACTTGTGAAATAAAAAAAAAAAATTATAATTGAGTTTTTGTCTCATAAGGTAGGAACCATCCATGTAAATATATATAAAATTCATCTTCCATACAAGTTATCCAAAATTACTTGATTGTGATTAAGATTAGCAACAGGTCAACTATAAGCTTAAAATGCATTATCCAAATTCATTATATTTACATATTAAATATCCGAACTCGTTTAATATTAAAAATATTTTTTATTTTTATTTTAAAAAGCAGTAAATGAATAAAATTATAGAATTTATATTTTAATTTAATAAAAATATAATATTAGGTATAATTACAACATAATCATAATTAGAAAAATATATAATTTTTTTGAGAAAAATAATTTTTTAAATTATTTTTAAAATATTAATTAAACAGATAATAAATAAAAAACAGCGAGTATTTGAATCCTTAAAAGTTAGATTCGAGCCTAACGTGATTACTTCTTCCGTTCTATATGTATAGATATTCACTTTTTATTTTCCTTTGTTTCAAATATAACCCTATTTTTCTTTTTAAAAGATAATTTATTACTTAATTTTTTAATCTATTCATATTTAATACACACGTATATTCCTAAAACTTAATGAATCGTTAATACATACTGCGGTGGAAATTAAGTAAATTACGTCTCATTCGTATTATTATGGATAGACTAAAAAAAAATAATAATAATAATATAACAACAGTAAAAACTACTTTTGGGAAACACAAGATATAATACGCCGTAACGCCATAACGTTTCCTTCTCACAAGAAAAGAATGAAATACTACCGTATATCCTATTTGATTACAGAACCTAACGTGCAACGACTTGTTTATCCGGTCACACGGAGAAGGTGAACCAAACCAATCCATATATCAAAAGATATAGCTGTCATCCTCTGTCTTCTTCGTTCAAATTACAGTACTAGCTGTGTCTATTTTGTCTGTTCAAGCCCATTTGATTGTACTGTCTCTCTCAGTCTCACCCACATTTCCTTTTCTATCTCGTCTTTTTTTGAGTTCTATTTTGTTCTTTTCCATTAGTTCTATGAACTCTGTCAATCAATAAGTTGGCCTAATTAATTAATTAATTAATTTTCTTTTGTGTTACTATCAATTTAGTTAATAAAATGCTGGTCTTGCAACGTTTTGCTGCGTGATGTGTACCCATTTGTTTCTTTTCTTTCCTTTTCATTATTCTAAAATCAATGGTTTTGGGTTGAGAAGCTCATGATATGACCTGGGTTGCTACTGCAAATCTTTGGCCCTACTTGTTCAGAGTTGATATTTCCATTGATTTTGAAGGTGACAGTTTTCTTATTTGTCCTTTTTCTTGATTTTATCTTCTGGGTGGGTTGTTCATATTTTGAAGTTCTGGTTGAGAATATATTGTACTTCTCCTTCTGTTGCAGTTACTTTTCTGCTTGTTACAATCCCTTCCAGGTTTCACTATCTCAACTCTCAGTTCTTTTCCTATTAGGCGTTTTTAGTTCCGCTCTTCACATAAAAAATCTCAACTTTGCTCTCCTTTTATAATCTGGGTTTTACATATTCTGTTGAATTTGAACTTGATTTTGGAAATGGTGAATCGTGGGAAATCAAAATTGCTCATATGGGTTTTTTCAATATTGTGTTTTCTATGTGTTTCTTTAGGATATAATCCTGCAGACAACTATTTGATAGATTGTGGATCCTCCACAAATAAATCAGTTGGAGACCGTATATTTGTATCTGATAAATTTTATTCCAATCTTCTTTCAAGTTCAGACATCACTTTTGCCAATGCCAGTTCAAGTCCTACTCAATCTGCATATGACCCTTCTCTCTTCAAAACTGCAACGATATTCAATGAAGCAACCGACTACACCTTTCCAGTCAAAAAATTGGGAAGACATTGCATTCGCCTATATTTTTTCCCATTTGTGTTTAGCAACTATAACCTAAGCACTGCAAAATTTTCTGTTTCTGCAGAAAATTTCACTCTCATAAAAGAATATCAACCAAAGATTGCTCCTTTAGTTAAAGAATACTCTTTCAATGTAACTTCTGATAAGCTAGTTCTTACTTTCACTCCTTTTGCCAATTCATTTGCTTTTGTAAATGCTTTAGAAGTTTTTTCACTTCCAGATGAGCTAATTCCTTTGGGTGCCACTACCATTAGTCCTCAGGGGAACTACCAAAGTCTGCAGAATCAGGCATTAGAAACCATCGAGAGGGTTAATATGGGAAATCAAACTGTTTTTCCTCAAAATGATTCACTGTGGAGATATTGGGTGTCTGATGGTGAGTATCTTACACACACTAATATAGGAAAGTTTGTATCTAACGTCAAAGCTGTGAATTTCACTAAAGGAGGGCCAACAGAGAATATTGCTCCCTCCTCTGTCTACGGCACTGCCACTGTATTGAATTCGGAGAATGATCCTAATACAAATGCTAATGTAACATGGCTTTTTGATGTTGATCCTGGTTTTGATTATCTGGTTAGGTTCCATTTCTGTGATATTTTCAGTTTGTCATTGTCAAGATTCTACTTCAATATTTATCTAGGTTCCTCTTCAGTTATTCAATATTTTGATCTTCTTAATCGGACATCAAATATTGGTACTCCTTATTTTCTTGATGTGATCACAAGGGTAAGTGGGAGTCGTATGCTAAATGTTAGCATTGGTCCTTCTAAAGATAGTCCTTACCCAAATGCCATTCTTAATGGGTTGGAGATGATGAAAATAAGCAATTCTAAGGATAGTCTTGATGTCTTAGACTCTATTTCCTCGAAAAGTTCAAGGACAAAAGTCATTCTAGTAGTAGGCTTGGCTGTTGGATTGTCTATCATTTGTGTTTTGTCTTTAGTTCTCTTTCAGCTACATAGAAGGAGAAAGCTTGTAAACTTAAGCCATATGAGGGCAGATGATCACTTTAGCATGAATGGAGGAGATACCATATTTTCCACTTCAAAATTTGGTTACCGCTTCCCACTTGTGGCTATTCAAGAAGCTACTGATAATTTCAGTGAAAGTTTGGTTCTTGGAGTTGGTGGTTTTGGTAAGGTTTACATGGGAGTTTTGAAAGATGAGACAAGAGTAGCGGTGAAAAGAGGGACTTCTCAATCACAAGGCATAGCAGAGTTCCAAACTGAGATTGAAATGTTGTCTCAATTCAGACACAGACATTTGGTTTCTCTGATTGGATATTGTGATGAAAGAAATGAGATGATCATAATATATGAGTACATGGAGAAAGGGACTCTCAAGGATCATCTCTATGGCTCAAATCATCCGAGCTTAAGTTGGAGGCAACGGCTTGAGATATGCATTGGGGCAGCAAAAGGACTTCACTATCTTCATACTGGCTCAACAAAGGCGATAATACACCGTGATGTAAAGTCTGCAAACATATTATTAGATGAAAATTTTATGGCCAAGGTTGCTGATTTTGGCCTTTCAAAGACTGGTCCTGAAATTGATCAGTCACATGTTAGTACAGCAGTGAAAGGAAGCTTTGGATACCTCGATCCGGAGTACTTAATCAGACAACAACTAACAGAGAAATCTGATGTTTATTCCTTTGGAGTAGTTATGTTTGAAGTTCTTTGTGGAAGAACTGTTATCGATCCATCGCTGCCAAGAGAAAAGGTAAATTTAGTTGAATGGGCATTGAAATGTCAAAGGAGAGGGCTACTGAAAGAAATTGTGGACCCTCGTCTTGAAGGTCAAATAAAACCAGAATCTTTGAAGAAGTTTGGAGAGATAGCAGAGAAATGTTTGGCAGAATGCGGCATTGATAGACCTTCGATGGGAGATGTGTTGTGGAATTTGGAGTATGCACTTCAAATTCAAGGGACTGAAGAGAAATCTAGCCAGTATAGTGAGCAGACTGGACAATTTAATCGCGCCAATAGCTTTGAGGCTAGTGTATCTGCTGCACAAGTCAGCATAGGAAGTATAGGGGATATTGCTGGTGTTTCAATGAGCAAAGTTTTTGCACAAATGGTGAGAGAGGAAATGAGATAGACTTGCAGTGAAGCCAAGCCGTATACTCTACAACAAAGTACAAGCTATCACTCTATCTAATCATAAATACTGCAAAAACTGAGATTAGAAATGTATAATGTACAGGAGTGAATTCAAATTTGTTGCTAGTTTGGCTGCAATTTTTTGGAATTAGTTAGGTTTATTTGTATCCATTAGCCTATTTGTGTTTCTAGTTGTTCTTGATTTCAGATTTGTGCTCTTATATGTGACCTATTCTTTATTTGGGAAAGAATTTCCTCTCTTGATGTGTGATCATCCTGATTGCATAAATTTGAAGCGTCATGGCTAGTGTTATTCTTATGTAATCTCACTGTCATTTTCCTATACACTTAAATATGCTATTTCTTAGGAAAAAAGAAAAAGAAAGAAAGAAAGAAAGAAAAGAAGCAGAATATTAAAGAATCACTAATGGGTCTTAAATGCAGTCTGCATTGCATACAATATGCTCTAGTAAAATTACCTTCAAGTGAGGAAGGTCATTAGAAGAAATGTTGGGGTATTTGATGGTGTGCAAAATAAGTAAACAAGTTCAGTTCTCTCCGAAACGACCAAAAGGTTTTATAATGTGAAATATTTTTCTTTGGAATTGAATTAAGTAAAGATTATAGTTTAACTATATTAACTATATTTTCATTGGAAAATGATCAAGTAAAAATATAAAGCCTCATAAATATGAAATAATAATATTAATTTTGTTTCGTTTTGGCTTAACTTTAAGAAACTCGAAACCAATAGCCGACAATGGTCGTTGATAGCTAGTAGGTGGTGGGTGCTGATAGTAGTTAGTTGATGAATGTTTAGTTAGTGTTAAAATATAAAATAACCATAAGGTATAATTATTTTTGTACATTATGATAATATGTATATTTTTAATTTTTTAAGTGAATGTTATCTTTTATTTTAATGTCTTATATAAATAAAAAATATTAATTAAATTTCTTTATAATAATATTTAATATAATTATAAATAAAAAGATCACATAAAAATATTAATTTGAAAAAATATTAGTAACTATTTTATAATGTTAATGAAGAATATTCGAAGGCCCAACAAAGCCGAAGCAAGCAAGAAGACGCAAACAGCACGAAGGTCTGAAAGGAGTGGACTAGTTAGTTATAGTACAGCCCAAAAAATAAGCTGACTGAGACTCAGAGTGAGAACTGCCTCCTATTCGTTTGGGTCTAACTCTAACACAGAGTTGTCTGTTCCCAGAAAAAAAAGGAAAAAAAAAAAAAAAAGTATGCCTCCCAAGTGAGTGTCTCAAGTAGCAATCTTTGAATCTTGAGGAGCAATAACTGCATTTCTTCATGAAATATCTTACTTTCTTGAGTTCTTTTCCTTCTTTAATTGTCTGTTCTACACATATGGCCCTTTGGTGGGTTCTATTATCAACTTGCCTAAAACCCTAAAAACCCCATCTGGTGATATTTAGACAACCAGTAAAGTTCCGTTTTTCTTTCAATTCTTTCTCTGCCAGTTACTATGTTCCTAATTTGAAGGTAAACATTTCATTTTTCAATATTTTCTTGCTTTTTTATGTTCAATACTCATTATCATTTTGGTCACTGCATCTAGCAATTCAAGAAGTAAGAATAATAGAAAATGGAACTAATCTATTCCAAGGTTTTTGCTCTAGTTCTTGCTCGTCTTTTGTTATTAGTTGTAAACCAACAACACCACAATTTATATATATTTTTAAAATCTGTGCGCTTGATTTAATTGTTGAATCTTTTTGAAGGGTTTGTACTACTGGCTCTTGGATTACTATAATATTTGAGTTCAAGGTATATATATATATTTGTTTTAAGTGTGATTAATGACACAAGTACCTTCAAAAAACATATGGATGAGGAGGCAGCAATGCCCTTGTGGTGATTGGAAGTGTTATATTACTCATGAAGGAGATACTGAGGAGACATCAATTGCATCCCATTTGGTAAAAAATGACACCTTTCAATCTGAGGCTATGGTTGCCCCATATGTAGGAATGGTCTTTAAGAGTGATGATGATGCCTTTGAGTATTATGGAAATTTTGCTAGGAGAAATGGGTTTTCCATTAGGAAAGAAAGGTCTAGATTGAGCCCTCAATTAGGTATTTATAAACGTGATTTTGTTTGTTATCGTTCTGGATTTGCACCAGCTAGGAAAAAGTCTACTGGGGAACACCATAGAGATAGGAAATCAGTGAGATGTGGATGTGATGCAAAAATGTATTTGTCAAAGGAAGTTGTTGAAGGGGTTTCTCAATGGTTTGTGGTGCAATTCAGCAATGTACATAATCATGAGCTTTTGGAAGATGACCAAGTGCGGCTACTTCCTGCATACCGAAAAATTCACGAGGCAGATCAAGAGAGAATTTTATTGCTTTCAAAAGCTGGGTTTCCAATACATCATATAGTGAAGATGCTAGAACTAGAAAAGGGGATTCAAGGTGGACAATTGCCTTTCCTGGAGAGGGATGTTAGGAATTTTGTTCAAAACCGCAAGAAAATTGTTCAAGAGAATGATGCTTTACTCGCTGAAAAGAGGGAAAATGATACCATGGAACTGCTTGAGGCATGCAAGGCTACAAAAGAAGTGGATGAAGAGTTTGTTTATGATTATACAGTAGACGAGAATGATAAGGTTGAGAACATTGCATGGTCTTATGGTGACTCTGTTCGAGCCTATTCATTATTTGGTGATGTGGTTTATTTTGATACTAGTTATCGCTCAATCACATATGGTATGCTTTTCGGAGCATGGCTTGGAATTGAAAATAATGGGAAAACCATATTTTTTGGTTGTGCTCTATTGCAGGATGAAACACCCCGTTCCTCTATTTGGGCTCTGCAGGTTGGTTACATTAATCTTCTGACTTGATTTTAGGCATCTTCGTGTGTATATGTTTCTTCCTCATGATTATCATTTTGTTTTGCATTTGTTGTAGGCTTTTATCCATCTTATGAAAGGAAAATTCCCACAGACAATTCTAACTGACCTTGATATGGGGCTTAAGGATGCCATAAGCAGCGAATTACCCAGCACTAAACATGTTATATCTATATGGAATATTCTACCCAAGGTATACAGTTGGTTTTCTCTTCCTCTTGGCACTCGATTTCAAGAATTTAAATCGAAGTTTGACGAGTTATATCATATTGAGAGCATAGAGGAGTTTGATCTTCATTGGAGTCAAATGGTTTCCATGTTTGGACTTGGTTCAGATAAACACATTTCTTTGCTCAATTCACTTCGGGCATCCTGGGTTTTATCCTATGTGAGAGGTAACTTTCTTGCTCGAATGGAAACATCAGCATATTCGAAGTCTGTGGATGAATTTTTGAAAGGAGTGTGCAGTGCACAAACATGTTTGCGTAGCTTCTTTGAGCAAGTATGCCGATTTCAAATATTGTCTAGTAGCCTATCAATGAAAATTCACTTTGTTAATTGTTTTTTACTTTTCTTGATACTGATGCAGGTTGGTATCTCTGCCAATTTTCAGAACCAGACACGTCGAGAGATACAATATACTCTTATGAAGACATGCATGCCTATTGAGGAGCATGCGCGCAGTATTCTTACACCTTTTGCCTTCAGTGCTTTACAACATGAATTGGTGTTAGCAATGCAGTATGCTTTATCTGAAATTGCCAACGGATCATGTCTAGTACATCACTTCAAGAAGATGGATGGAGAGAATTTTGTTGTATGGATATCAGAAGATGATCAGATTCATTGTTCCTGTAAAGAATTTGAATCTTCAGGGATATTGTGCAGACATGCTCTTCGTGTATTCATACAGAAAAACTACTTTCAGCTTCCTGAAAATTATTATCTAAGCAGATGGCGACGGGGAAGCTCTCTAGTTTTCTATGATGATCAATATACTCATAGTAACAACGAAGAGTGGCTTCGGGAATATCAGTCCTTGACTGAAACCCTGTTTGCAGAGTCATCAATCACAAAGGAGCGCACAGACTTTGTTCGTAGGGAACTTCCAAAAGAATTGACAAGAATTCTTAATGAGGTTAGAGAGATGCCTGAGAGTGATGGGGTTGCTATGGATATGACACCCTCGCCAACTGGTTAGTTCAAGAATTGGTGGAAACTCAATGTGGTAAAAATTTAGGGGAGTACATGATGAAAGGCGGTGAAAGGTCCAAAATATGTGTGCATTCTCATTGTTCACTTTCACTTGGAAAAATAGCACAAATTGTTGTTTACATGGAACTAGTCTCTTTTGTTTTCCTTCATGGAAAACTACTAAGCTGCAAAGAATGTGAATTGGAGCAAAATGGATTAACCTAAGGTGTTGTACTCTTGTAAAATATAAAAAGATGTGTTTTTCACTCACTGAAATAACTAATCAAAGTGGCGGTCTTGACTTAGTTTGTTCTCATCCTGATTTCTATTTCTTTTTCCTCTATCAAAATCCAATTCTCTTTTACCACTTTGGAATTTACTTTAAATCTTGAAGACAGAGAATGTTATGCAATGCATAATTCCATGCTTGCTCTGGCAATGGTCATTTCTTCTCATTGTTAAAATTGTGTAAGCTATGGTTTTTGACTTAGTGGTTGATTCGATGTAAGAAAGGGAAGAAGATGAAAGTGACAGAGGAAGAAGTTACAAGAAAAGGCTCTTTACGCCTCCCAAATCATTGCATAATGCAGATGTTTGGGCATGTTCATAAATTTGCTGCACTCTAGGATAAATTGCACTGAGAAGAAGCTCTCTAAAGTCCCATTGAAACTTTATCAGCTGCATTTCCGGCAGAATCAAGTTGCGAAGTGCTCGCAGTTCTTAACATAAGATTAGACTGGCCGAGCCCATTGGACCTTCTCTTTTATTTTCCACCTTTTTTTGTTTTTCGTTTTTCCAGGACAAGGCTTCTGTTATTTTTAATAAAAATTTCATCTTGTTTGATTTTTTTTTTTTTTTCCAATTCCTATCAGGAAAAGGCTTCTGTTATTTTTAATTAAAATTTTATCTTGTTTTATTGTCTTTTCCAATTCCTACTTAGTAAAGGAGACAGTCCTAAATTTTGATTTATTTATCTTTTCCTAATTCCAATCGGAAATCCCACAAAACCTCATATATAATCCTATCCATTGGTGAAATACATACACTATCGCATTAACTTTTTTTACAGAAGAAAGAAGAAGATGAGTCAACAATCTCACGAGGACGAGCAACAAGAATTATGGGAAGAACAATCTCAAGACGAGGAGCAACAAGAATTATTGGAAGAGCTATTGGAAGCTTATATTGATTATCACCAGCAACTTTTAGAGCAAGAACTAGGCTTACAACAACCCCAAGCAACAGTTGATTACTCACAATTCATGTCGTTCTTGACTCCTGACAAGTCGTTTTTTACACCATGGAGTTGGAACACTAATGCTGAAGAAGAATCCAATAATGAAGAAGAACAGAGGATAATATTGCAGCCGGGTTCTTTCTTCAGTCAAGATGTGATTTGGCAGGTGCCTTACGTGGAGCCTAAGGAAAGTTCAGACCAACTCGAAGTCCTTCAATGGATATTTGATCATTATTAGAGATAGAACTATATTTTGTATTACATGAAAATAGGAAAAAATAAACTCTTTTATTACATGAAAATAGGAAGTAGCTTGTGACTTCTCTCTTGTTAAAAGGATATATGGAAAGGAAACAGGCCATGAATTCAACAAGCATTTATTTTATACTGTCCAGTGAAAAATTTTTCAAATATAGTAAAAAATGAAAGATTTTTCTTTAAAAAAAACAAGAATCTGAATATCACCGGTTCGATTCGCAGACTCTATCCGGCTCGGTTCAATTAAGAAAACAGAACAAATATCCCATAACATATCTGGTCCGTTGCTCTCATCAAACTCTCTACGTATCACTCTCCCAGAGACGATAAGAGAGAGAGAGAGAGAGAGAGAGAGTGAGTGTGTGTGAGAAACCTGTGAGAGAGAAACCCTAGCCATGGATCGCTCCTCCGATAAGGATAAATCCTCCAAACGCTCCCGGGATGATCGGGACCGCGGCTCCGCCAAAGACCACCGTGACCGCCGGTCCCGAGATTCCGATTCTTCCCATCGCCACCACCGATCTGAGCGGGAAAGCCATCGGGACCACCATAAATCTTCTTCAAGGCGTGAGGATCGGGAGAGCTCGCGAGACCGCGAATCTAAGCGGGAGCGCTCGTACGACCCTAGAGAGGATAGGGAGGGGAGTAGGGATAGGCGCGAACGGTCCAACGAGCTGCGAAACGATCACAAATCCTCATCGAGGCGGGAGGAACGAGAGCGGTCTTGGGAGAGGTCCTACGATCTGAGAGAAGAGAGAGATGGACGCGAGAGGTCTGAGGATTTGGAGTATGAAGCTAGAAGAAAGAGGAAAGAAAGAGGAGATAGCGAGGATAGGGTTCTCGAGATGGAGAAGAGGCCTAGGGTTTCGGGGGAGAAGAGAGAGAGGAGGAGATTTGGGGATAAAGTAAAAGAGGAAGAAAATACTGATATTTTTTTTTTTTTTTTTTTTTTTTTTTTTTTTTTTTTTTTTGATAATATTCACTTGCTGCGAATGTTAGTTTTCTTGGGTAAATCGGAATAGGCAGGTACCATTTTGGAAAATTCATCTTATATGCTTAAGGTCTACTATGTTGTGGAAATCTCATCTTTTGCTCCTTTTTTGGTTTTAGATCTCTGTAAGAATTTGTTCTTTGCCCCATCTATTGTGATCTAGTCAGTTTATTTTCTTTTCTTTACTTTTTATTTAATGGGTAATCTATATATATGAAATTTGAACTTTCCCGAGTTGCATTTCCTATTCTGAATGCTTGTCTTGCTTACAAGTCAATAGAGTAGATACTTGTAGTTTAAGAAGGACTGGCAGTTTCTTTGATTTGCTGCTGAACGCTCTTTACCTCGTCTACCTGGATGGAGGTAGAAAGGAACTGGGCTATAACCTTTTGCTTTGTAAGTGGTTTTTCATTTCACATGCTTTACGCACATAATGCAGCCTGCGATACCACTAGTTTTCTTATACGCCTTTCATTAATTATGTTTTATGTATCATTTTTGCATTTGCTTTTTGCTTGTTGTTTGAAACATTTGGATCCAATTTAATGCACAATTCAAACATGTCTAAAAGCTTTGAATTTCCCAAAGGATTGATGCTTTTTCCTTTTCTTGTAAGCTTATTTACCTCTATTATAGCACTTATCCTATTTTTTTCTGACTCTCTTCATTCTTTTTTCTCCTTTTTGATACACTTGTGTGTTGACATGTGAATTTATTCTTCCATCCTTGTAGGGTGTTGCCCTGGAATCATCCACTAAGACAACTAGCCTTGTGCATGAGAATTCTATTGCCCTTGTTCATCCTCTTCCTATCAAGGTATCTTCAATTTCAAAAAAAAATGAAAATAAGGGAGTTAGTATTACCAGATCTCATGAGGTTCCTGGAAAATCTAGTACAGATGGGACATCTATATATATATATATATATATATACACACCCCACCATGCGTTAACTTTTGTTAAATCTGTTGATGCAGTTGAGCAAGGGTGCTACCTCAAGGTCAGATAATAAAGCACCATCCACAGTAAAGGAGGAAAACATACAGTCTTCTGGTACTGGAGCAACACAGGGGCTAGCTCCATCAACATCCACTAATGCTATTTCAGCAGTGACATTGAGTTCATTGGCTTCTGGTAAGCCACCTGCAAGTGGCATGGCATCTCTTCCTGGACTTGCTAGCATACCCAATATCGAAGCTGTTAAACGCGCACAGGAGCTTGCTGCTAAAATGGGATTCAGGCAGGATCCTGAGTTTGCTCCTCTTATAAACTTGTTCCCTGGTCAGGTGCCAGCAGAAGTTTCAGTGCCACAGAAGCCTACCAAGGCTCCTGTTCTTCGTATAGATGCACTTGGTCGTGAAATAGATGAACATGGAAACATTGTGAACCTTACTAAACCAAGCAACCTTAGCACGTTAAAAGTATGCTTAATATCAACTTTTTTTTTAAAAAAAAATAAAATAAAATAACACTGATTAGGTTTGCATTTGTGGACGGTCATATTTGGTATTGATTCTTATTATGGCAATTATTTCCAGGTTAACATCAACAAGCAGAAAAAGGATGCGTTTCAGATTCTTAAACCTGAATTGGATGTTGATCCTGAATCAAATCCTCACTATGATCCAAGTATGGGCATAAATAAGGCTAAGCTTTTGAGGCCCAAACGAATGAGTTTTCAGTTTGTAGAAGAAGGCAGATGGTCAAAGGAAGCTGAAATGATGAAATTGAAGGTACTTCTTGCCACTTTACACTGTCAATATCACTTTATCTGCTATTTACCTGTATTCGTGGTTTCCATTTGCTAATTACAGAGTAAATTTGGAGAAGAAAGGGCAAAAGATATAAAGGCTAGACAAGCACTACATGCAAAGGCAAAAGCAGCTCCTGATATAAATCCCAATTTAATAGAGGTATCAGAGAGAGTTATAATTAAAGAAAAGCCCAAGGAACCAATTCCTGAAATTGAGTGGTGGTAAGTTGATAATATGTGATAATCATTCAATTTAATCTGGAATTGAATCACACCTTTTGTCATAGATGCATTGACCATAATTATTCATTAGTATTTTGCTTGTACCAAGTGACTCTTTAACTTGGCCTTTAGTGCGTTATGAGGGGATAAGAGTTTGAATGATTCCCTTTTGGGGATACAATTGTGGTTTTAGCGAGTGATTGGTTGTGTGCTTGTGTCTGGTGGATTGCATAGGCTGGGGATTAATACATTCTCATTGAGAGAGAGATGGGGGTTATCTGTGATAGTATTTTGTCTATATTTCTTACAAGAACAACCTGGATCCTTCTGTGATCTGCAATATTTTTAACCATGCTTGATCAAAAATATAATTGAATTGGTTTTCATTGTTCTACCTTTTTTGTTTGTGCTTCTTCTTGGTCCTGTGTTTTTGGTGTTTTTTTTTTTCCACCCCCTCATATTTATTGTTGGCAAGACTAAAACTGATTAAGGCTGAATTTCAGGGATGCTTCACTTTTGCCAAGTGGTAACTATAGTGGAATTGATGGGGGTAATATACGTGACAAGTTGAAAATGGAGAAGATCACAATCTATGTAGAGCACCCACGTCCCATTGAGCCTCCTGCTGAGCCAGCTCCTCCTCCACCTCAGCCTTTGAAGCTAACGAAGAAGGAACAGAAGAAGCTCCGCACTCAGCGTCGTTTGGCTCGGGAAAAAGATAAGCAGGAGATGATTAGGCAAGGCTTGATTGAACCCCCAAAACCTAAAGTAAAGATGAGCAACTTAATGAAGGTTCTGGGCTCTGAAGCTACTCAAGATCCCACAAGACTTGAGAAGGAAATCCGCAGTGCAGCTGCTGAGCGTGAACAAGCTCATATTGACAGGAATGTTGCGCGTAAGCTCACTCCTGCTGAGCGTCGTGAGAAGAAGGAGAGAAAGCTCTTTGATGATCCGAATACTTTGGAAACTGTTGTTTCTGTGTATAGAATCAATGACCTTTCACACAAGAAGACCCGCTTCAAAGTAGATGTTAATGCTCAGGAGAACCGCTTGACTGGCTGTGCTGTCATTTCTGAAGGAATGAATGTCGTGGTTGTCGAAGGAGGAACCAAATCCATTAAGAGGTATGGGAAGCTAATGCTTAGGCGGATTAACTGGGCTGAGGCTGTAGGAGGAGATGATGAAGAAGAAGAAGAAAAAGAAGAAGATGACAACAAGGAGAAGCCTGTGAACAAATGCGTATTGGTGTGGCAAGGTAGTGTTGCCAAATCAAGCTTCAATAGGTTTTCTGTACATGAATGTGTCACGGAGGCTGCAGCTCGGAAAGTGTTTGCCGATGCTGGTGTTGCCCACTATTGGGATCTTGCTGTCAACTTCTCTGATGATTAAATGTGAGTGGCTGCTTCCATTAAATTTTCTTGGTTGCTAGTATTTTTATTGAAGTTGACCTACTTGAAACATTTTAATAGCAGACTGAAATTACTTCTGTCAACAAATTTTCATTAGAGGTATGTTGCTTAAAGGTTTCTGTAAATTCAAGTTCCATATGTTTCGATCATGCTATCTGTGTGCTTAAGTTTATCTTGGTCTGAGTATGTTCGACTGGCTGGCCAGGGTCACACCTGTTTTAAGTCTAGAATGAGTCTCTTCGTTAAAAAGTTGACATGTTGGATATAAAATGGTTTGTTATCCTTACAATTATGTTTGTATCTCCCTCTTCTTCCCGTTCGTCTATTTGTAGCTTTCAAAACAATGATTTTACCCTTTTCATTGTTTTCATAATCTATAGACAAATGGGTAGAATAGAGAAATGAGCATAATTGTTGAGGCTTAAAAAAGTGGGTTCTTTTGGTGAATTGTTCTCAAAAGTCTGATAAATTTCTTTTTACTGTGAATTTTTAAGTTATCAATGGAAATTTAAGAATATGAACATAGTTTGCAAATGAATGGTATGGATGGCTTAGTTGGATCTTTTATAGTAAGTTGCATTTTTACTAATTTCTACTAATAATTTATACTAGTTTCTACTAATTTTTTGCCTTTACCATTTTTTCTTTTTTCTTTTTCTTGTAACATCATTCTACCGCGTCAAGAAACTAATTTTTTGCTTTAACAGTATATAAAATACATCTAAATTTAGATTTATACTAATGTATACTAATATTTCTTTTTTTTTTTTTTAATCTCCGTCAACATCGTAAAGCCACATGTCATAGAGTTCATGTTTTACTTTAGTTTTATATAAATGTATAGATAGATAAAACTACTTAAATATATATGAAATTTAGTGTTTTATGTCCTCTAGGATGGCCGTTTGATTTAATTGTTCATGCTAGCTGCGTAGCCAGTGCTAATAGTGGTTAGCAACATACTACCTGATAACTGCATAGCCAGTGACCAATAGTGGTTTTGTGATGAATATAGATGGTTTTTTTGATTTTAATCAAATCCGGAATGCGAAATTCACTGGCCGGAGTGTTTAAATAGGTTACATATCTAGGATTTGAATTAAGACCCCTAGTCAAGGGAGAAGAGATAACTGTCATTTCATTTCACCCTGCGAGGGTATATGTTTAATAAAATTTTAGTAACATTGCTGTTGAAATACAAAATGACTATTAAAGACATAATTATTTAATAAATTATTATCACATAATTTTATTTTTTATTTTAATGTGTTATATAAATAAAAATATTAATTAAGTTTTTAATATTTAATTGTTACTTTTTTTTTTGTGTGAAGATAATAGTTACTTTATTATAATAAAATGATATATAAAAATATTAGTTTGGAAGAAAAAAATAATAGTCATTACTTTTATAATGTTGAAATAATACTCCATCTGTTTCAAAATAAGTCGTTTAAGTTTCTGCATAAGGATTAAGGAAAATATTATTTTTCTAAATTATTACAAATTTAAGGATAATTTGATCAAATTATACTTTATTTCAAAACTAATAGTTGCTTGGAAAGTATTTATTGTATTTAGTGTAAATAAGGGTAATATTGAAAAAATATTATTTATTAGTTTTTGAAATACACAAAATGATTTATATTCTGACATAAAATAATAAATAAAAAACGACTTATATTTCAAGAGAGAGAGAGTATTCCATTGCAGTAGTTACGGTGTTGTTGAAAACGCATTAGGAGAACTGTTACGAGCTATCTCAGATATTTGGAACCTCTTTAAGCTCTGGCTATGAGACGCTGTCTAAAGTGGCTTCAAATAAATTTCATGGCTCCGGATTCTCAAAGTTTGGTTTCTCTTTTAACATCATCTTCTTTAGATTTATCTGAATTAGGCATTGTGATTCAAGATTGTAGAACTCTTTTAGGGCAAAGATCGAATATTTTTCTAAGACAGATTAGGCGGCAAGTAAATATAAGAACTCACGTATTACGTTAAAGATAATATTTCTCCTTACTTGTTATCAATTTATAACTCTTATTAATAAAAAATAATTTATTTTTAAATAAAATTCAAACATAATATGTATGGGGGGGGGGGGTAAATTAGCCAGAGCTTGCATAAATTGGCAAAGACCGAATGCCCTTAAAGAGACGAATTTGGAACTTTAAAGTATGATTAGATGGCCTTAGTTAGAGCAAGCATATTTGGTCAAATTGACCGAATTGATAAATTATTAACTCTATTTAATTGTTAATGCAGTTCGGTTTCAATTTTCGTAGAAAAATTAAAATTTTTTCCAATTTCATTCGGCTTTTTGTGAAGCTAATAAAAGATATAAATTCAAAATTATTAAAAAAAGATTAAACGGAGTTGATCAAATTGATTCAATTTTATTTTATACACTCTTAATTTGCTTTAATTTTTATTGAAAATAAAATTTTGATTTATTCAAATTATTTTGATTTAATTTAAAGCTTTTACTAGTACACGGAAAATAAAAAAAAATTAATTTATTCAATTCATTTACATATTAAAATATATAATAGTGTTGTAAAATTATATATTTCAATTACTTATTATTGATTATTTACTTAAAACTTAATAATAAAAAAATTAGAATTCTAGATTGATTGGATACATACATGATGTTAAATTTATTCAAAAGAAATAGATTTGATATTATAATTCGTGATTCTATTTTAATATTTTTTAAAAATTATTATCAAATTAAATTGATTGAATTTTAAAATTATAATAATTTATTTAAAATTTTAAATACTAATTGTTATTTTCACTGTAATTCCTGTAAATTGAAAAGTTATTATTTCTTTTCTACAGAAGGTTATTATCTATATTTATTATTTTACTGTCATTTATATTATTTTCATTAAGAAAAATTTTGACCATATATAATATCTTTGTTTGTGTAATTATTCTATTTTTACGTACTTTAAAATCATGTTTAATTTTTTACTAATAGTTGTTTTAATACTAGAGTCGTGTTTGACAATAACTTTTTAAGTAGTTTTTAGCGTTTTATAAAAAACTACTCAAACAGTTAATAAAACAGTTCATTTTGCTGAACATGACCTAAAATGTTTTAATAGTTGTTAGTGGTTAGCTATTAGCTTTTAGTCGGTAGCTATTTATATAACGTTTTAAATTAAAAATATTCGATAAAAATGGTTGTTTAACTTAAAATGACAAAAAAATATATTATATGTTTAATTACCTGAATTAGAAGAAAATAATAGGTATGGTTGTTAAAAAAATTTAATTAATCCTCTATAAAACGCTAAATGTTAAAATGTTTAACATTTTATAAAAAGCTTCCTCATCCTGTCAAAATTATTATAAATATTATGTTTATATATACAATTAAACTAGTTGTTACCAAACAAGGTCGAAATGACAAATATATTTTAGCTCTTTATGAAAAAATCCTGGCTCCGTCACTGCTTGAAAACCTGTGATACTTTTCTTAGTTAGCCATATTTTTCTTCTCTTTAGTTAATTTTTTTGTGATACTATTATTTTTGAATTGAAAATTATTACTTTTGTAATATTTTTGGATTGAAATTTCATAGATAAAAGAAATAAAAATATGATTTATAAGACTTATTATGCAAGTAATTTCATTTTGAAATAAATTAATAGAAATTAAAATTAGATTTTAATTTTTAAAATTAAAACTTATTTTAAAATAAGACTTATTATATGCTTTGAATTTGTAGAATTTGATATTCTGAAGCTAATAAATATTTTTTTTTTGAGTATTAGGAGAGGGGATTCAAACTAGGATCTATTGTTAAATCATATACGTGCTCACCACTAAATTATGTCTTGGTGTACGATAATTTTTTTTAAAAAAAAAAATAAAAAAATATTAAATAACCTTTGAATCACAAAAATTTTTAAAAATGAATTTAATAAACAAAATTTCAGAGTATAATCTCTATAACTGAAAATTTGATGAGCAACCTATTAGTAGATTTAATTAAATAATTTAATAGTTTTTAAAAAGCCATAATTTAACATTTAAAATAAATAAAATAATTAATAATTTAATTTAATTATGTAATATAAGATTATCTTAACTATAATTAAATAATACTTTATCAGGGCAAATCCTCATACTTTCAAGTCTCTTAAAAAATTTGTACAATTAAAAAAAAAAAAAAAGATAAATAATATATATTTTCATGCTAATGCACGACTTATTATGCAGGTAGTAAGTCATGGTTTTCGATATAATCAACTACGTAATGGAATGAATATTATATTACACAATTGATTGTGATGTTTGAGGAATTTTTTCTTACTTTGTAATGTAATGAACAATACAATTGAATTGAACATTATTTAAAATAATATAATAATGATTTCATCCAAAAATTTATATAATTGTCATTCCATTACAAATTTTAAAAATTGAATGCTAACCAAATTTAACTTCGAACTCTATCTTTCACTGCCACCGCTACCAGTACCACCATATTATTATTAATATAAAAGAAATACTTGAACTAAAATTATATATGGAAATTTAGTTCCATTCAACCCCCAATTGATAAACATTGTTCAATTTTTTTTTTTTTTTTGGCTAATTACTGGCTTTTAGAAAACATTAGCACATGCTTTACTCTTTATAATGAACGTCATCAATTATATGGAGATATTTTCCAAAACAGTAGGGTATTTTAGAAAATAAAAGCAAACAAATTTTTAATTTTTAATTTATTTCAAACTTGAGAATTCATTTATAAATGAACCGGGTAAAATATTGTGCTTTGCGCAGATTTCTTATTGATAGACATTGTAATTTATGATTTAATTTATAATTTATATTTAATTCATATTTTTAGCTTCTTTTTATAATATAAATTAAAATATTTGGCAATCTAAAGTTTAATTCTATTCAAAAATATTAACACATGCTTTGCTCTCTATAATCAATATTAATAATTATATCTAAAATAGTAGGATAATTTAGAAAATAAAAGCAAAATGAAATTTCAATTTTGAATTTATTCTAAACATTAAAATTCATTTATAAATGAGTTATAATTCTATTTAAAATTTATTTATTAATGAATTTCATATCTTAAATTCCTTTATAATAAATGAATCTTTAAATAAAAAAATATCTATGAAAATTTTA